CTCCTTCTGAGGCTACATTCATACTCTGCGGCCCCCTCTCCATTCTCGAGAGTTGGTGGAGCAGAGCAGGATGAGACCTCCACTTTTGGCATGTGAGAGCAGGGCCAGAGATACTGGTGCCCGTGACCCACTTAGCCTTCAGGGCCAGGAAGCGGCTTTTCACTGAGATCCCACCCTTCTGCCTTCAGAGCCCTCCATCTCTGGAGCCTCAGGCTGCTGGACACAGAGACAACCAAGCAAGAGTGTGGCATGCTACTTTCAAGCCAAGAACTGCGGCTGGGGGATGAAGGAAATTGGGGGGCGGTGGGATCCCAAACTGACGCCTTCTCTCACTGGTATACACAGTGGTTCCCAGTGGCTCTCCTCCACAGGCAGCTGGAGGGTGTCTGCAGGCCAGAGAGGACTGCCTACCCAGAGCCTGGGGCCCTAAGGCTCAGTTCAGGGTCTCATCTATCAGAACAGGCCCTTCATTGCAGAAGAAAAATGGAACATAGAAGCATTGAGGTGGGATAGAGACTTCCAGTTCTCTGCAGGCCCTCCTCCCCTTCTGGGTGACATTTCATGCTCCCTCATGCACTTGGTAGCCCCGAGGGCTCCTGAGGTGCAGCTCAGGGACACAGACTCCTTCACTCAGGTGCGTGCTTCGATGTGAGGCCTCTCTGTGCCTCTTCTGTGCCCACCGTTTGCCAGGTGTTTGGGGGGCAGGGTAGAGGGTGTTCTCCTGTGACCCTCACCTCCATCCCTTAGAATGTCAGCCCCAGCCTGGCCTGTGCCAGCAGCGTAACCAGTATGTTCATAAAAGGCAGAGTTGGAATTTGCATCCAGGTCACTCTGACTCCCAAGCCAGGTTCTGTCTGTTTCTACCCAAGGAGGAGGATTTCCTATCATCCTCTTGACTGTTTACATATTTTAATCCAAACTGTCAGGGAATTGGAGATTCTTTGGGTCTTAGAGCCAGCTGCTGTGTGTCAGGGCAGAGTGGGGTCCATGAAGAAGGTGCTAGAAGAAGAGATGCCTCAGCAGTGACAGGCATGGTGCCTGTTGTAATCATGGGGCCCAGAAAGATGGTTTTGGAGGAAAAAAATCTCAGCTGCGAGTGAGAGACTAACCCCGGGGGTGACCCTGAGTGCTTCACTCCAGTCCCACAGCCTCCAAGGTGCTCATCAAGAATAGCCTTGTTTTATCCCCAAGATGTAGAGAGACATGTCATAGCATAAATGATAACACTTGGGCAAGATGTGGTGCCACATCTTGCAGCGTTAGGTTCTGAAATAAGCAGTAAAGATAGTCTTTGAAAAATCACTCAGGAAGGTGTCTAGTCAACAGCAGGAATGTTTGTCCCCGTTCCCTCACGCCCAGCATGCCTGTGGGAACAGGCAGCCATTTCTCTACACATCAAGTGTCCCTTAAATTTCGCTGACCAAGATGCCACACATTGTGTCTGTGTTGTATGGAAAATGTGGGTCATGAAACAACAGAATCTCCCTCTGGAGGGCCCTGTGCTCACAGAGAGAGGCCCCGACATGCTGAGACCCCAAGAGCAAAGTGAATAACACAGTGTCATCAGACCCGCCCATGGACGCTGGAGCACCTGTTCATCCACCAGAGCAAGGACCAGAATGGCCTTTGTTTTATTCTCTCTCTCTCTCTTTTTTTTTTTTTTTCATTTTCTCTCCTTCAACACAATTCGTTGGATTTTTGTTAAATATTTGAGACTTCACCCTACACCTGACATTGAAATCCCATATACATAAAAATCCAAGAACTTGAGTATTTTGGTCATTTCCATTCTCCGCCTCGCTGGGAGACAGCATGTCCGGTCTGTGTCTCACCACATTCCCTACTGAGACGTTAGCATTACAGGAAAGGGCACGGAGGAACAGCCTACTCATCAGTGTTCACCTGGGGGTGGTTCTGAGTTTGGAATTATTCTTGTAGTCATGCACCTGTGTGCAGGAGGCGAGCCTGAGCCTGACTCTGTGGAGACCCCCACCCCAAATCAATTCTGGTGGCTGCCTTGCTACTGAATCCCTGTAAGCTGGGTGGTTCCTTTCCCTTCACAAAAACAGAATCGTGCAGGGGCTTCTTTGGGGTGAGATTATCTGGACGTTGGTGCCCATCTGTTGTATTCCAACAAGGAGACTCAGTCCCTGGCGACCGAGCCCTTCTGAGTCACACTTCTGAGGAGTGTTGATCAAGATACAGTGCAGAGGCAACTGGTTGTGGAGAATTTCTAGTGCAAGCCTGCTGTGTTACTATAATGTTAATCAGAAGTAACTTATACAAACCTGCATCTCATTTTTTTAAAAACTGCCATAGGATGTCCCTACTTCTGTGATTTAGTGAACATTTATTGACGGGGGTTGTCAGGCACCGTTCCCTCAGGGCTTGGAGTAGCCCCCAACCTCTCCAGTGGGGTTACACTGGAGGAGCAAGGAGCTCCTCCCTTGGGCTCTTCACCCCTTAGCATTCTTTCCCAAGACTGCTGGATCTGATTCACATACCCGACATCAAACGCCCAAGGCTCCCGAGAAACAGACAGGTAGGCTCAGAACCAGAGCTCACAGAACAGCAGAAGATTCAAGTCTAGAACACCTGGCCATCTGCCAAGGCTTGCGGAATTGGGGGTGAAGCTCGGAAGAGCTGAGCCAACATTGGGGCAATGCTCTTTGAGCCCCCTACGTGGGGCCTACAATTTCCAGAAGCAACGTGTTATTTTATTTTAAGATAAAATCAACTCAGATTCATTGAGTGATTATTGTGTCTGATAAATCTGGGTCACATGTGACATGAGGCCCATCTGTGTCTTTCATCCCACAGTCACTTAAAAGTCAAAGTTAGCGTGTGTGCCTAACGCTAAAAGCTTTTGTTAAATATAATATTGCCAGAAATAATAGATGTCCCGGGACGTAAACCTAAAATAACATGAATGTTTCAGTCAAGTAAGCCTTAATGTAAGCTAAAAATAGCCTAAACAGTAGTTTATGTAAACCTCAAATATCCAGGATTCCCAACTAGTTCATCAAATGGTAAATTTATGAGGCACTTAGTTAACATTTGAACATTTTAAACCAGATCAAGCGTGATCTCGCTTCGAGACAAGCTCCAGAAACCCAAGAATCTCACTCTTGGCTGATCTTGCTGACTGGAACATTCCTTAGGGAAGTCCTTCCCTGGGGCTGGCAGGACGAAACCCCAACAGAACACGCAGGGCGGGCACGCAGTGTGGACGCTCACTCAGCTTTTCTTTTGTAAACACAGTTTTGTCTCCTGAGAGACCGGGTTCCCGGGCCAGCAAGCCTGGCAGTGTGGGCGAAGGAGGCTCTTTTATTTTACAACCAACTTGACCGCCGAAGAAAACTTGGAATCAGGCACAAGTGAAACATTCCTCCCTACGTGGCGGGGCCACGCTGCCAGGGCTTGGATCTCCTCCGACTGTGGTTTCCAAATAACATCCTTGTTGTTTGAAAAACCCATCTGGTGGCCGCCCGGAGCTCCCCACCCCCAGACTGTGGAGGCGGCTGGTGTGGGCACCCAGCTGGAAGAACGGCCGTCCCGGGTCCCCGCCCCCGGGCGGCTTCACCCCGCTTGGTGACAGGGCACTCTGGCTGGATCTGCATGTCCTTCTTACACCTTCTCTTTAGATAAGGAACCACTTTTTCGCGAGACATTGCATTTCTGGCTCCTATGGACATGTAGCAGAGCTCACTGAGATGCATCCACTTGAAAACAGAATCACCTGCTTTATTTAAAAATTTCTAATTAAGCTCTAAGTCAAGTATTTTTTTTAAAGATTTATTTATTCATACAGAACTGGGGTACAGGCCAGAGGTGTAGGGACGGTGAGAGGCGTCCCCAGAGACTGAGTGGGGAGCAGAACAGGCAGACCTTTGCACACCACACGTAGCCACATGCGCGCATTGAAATAGAGAAGTTTTATTGAGATAAAGAGCTTGGAGAGGAAATCATTTGACCCCTTAGTAAGCACCCCCTCTGCTGAGGGAGCAGAATGTGTGTGAGCACAACCTCAGCAGCAGGACAGCCAGACAGATCAGCTGGGCTGGTCCCACTCCACAGAGGCTGGCGTGGCTGGGGTGGCGGAGCAAGGGAAGGTGGGCTTCCTTCTGGGAGATACCAGCATTCCGCCACAGTCAGGGGAGCTGGTGAAAGACAACCAGAGACATGTGAAGGAAACCAGAAGAACATGGCTTCCGAGGAGCATTTAGAGCTCTTTTGATAACAACCTCCATTCATATTCATCCCCTCTGAGTGACTCGGGGTCAGGGGTCATGAGTGACGATGTCCCATGATAGTGTCTCAGTCCTCCAATAATACTTTCGAATGAGCGGAAGTGTGTGTGTTTTCTGCTGGGCCGTTTGCAGAGATGGGCAGCACGTGGCCACATGGCACATTGAGCCGCTGTCCTGGCCAGATGGGCCCACGAGCTGGGTCCTCTGACCTGAGTGTTGCGTGTCTCAGCTTGTCCTGCGTGGTCAGCCCCAGGTGGGGACAGCATCCCTGTGTCTGTCACATAGTCAGGTGGGAAGGTGACAGGTGTTGCCTGGCTGGGCCATGTGTCGTGACATGAAAGAAAAGCCATGTTTTTTGATGAATCGGACTTGCCTCTTGTAATGTCACAAATCTTAGATGTCCCCATGCCCCCCAGGATAGCAGCTTCTCTCTTAAATAACACATTCATCATTAACACTAGGCCCTCTGATACGGAAAAGCAAGTCTAATGAGAATTAAAGTATCACAGTTAATAGTTAATAGAAGTTGTTTACTATTCACCTTTTTTAGTGAATGCAATTGATGTCTGTTACTCACTTTTCATTCACTCAGTAAGCCGCTATTTCTCTAAAAGCTCGTGGCTATTGGGAGCTGCTCAGCTATCCCCTTTGATATTTCAGACTTGATTGAGTCCAGCACAGTGTGTTCGAGCCTGGAGCTGGAGATGCGACGCGTGTGTCATGAATGTCCCTCGCTTTTCCCTCCTGCAGTTTGGGGATGAACCACGATGATGATCACTCGTCCTGCGCCGGCAGGTCCCACATCATGTCGGGAGAGTGGGTGAAAGGCCGGAACCCCAGCGACCTCTCCTGGTCCTCCTGCAGTCGAGATGATCTTGAGCACTTCCTCAAGTAAGTCCTGGCATCATTCTGTGCAATCAGGGCAATGGAAGGTACACTTGATCCTTGAGCCACCAGGACTGAACCCCAGATGGACAGGTGGGCCTACGAACTGGCCCCAATCACCCCTCGTGTAGTGGAAACTTTAGGTATAATTTATAGTTGCTCCTTTGGGTTCTGCATCCACAAATTTAACCAACTCCACAATGTCACTGGTTGATTTCATAAATGTAGAACCCACGGGTATAGAGAACCAACTGTATTTACTGAAAAAGAAATCTGTGTGGACCCATGCAATTCAAACCAGTGTTGTTCAAAATGAAATGTATTTCACTTTACCCGGAAGGTCCGTAAAGCAGGCAGGGTGTTTTCATTTGTTCAGACAGAGTGCTGGCCTCCAGCGGCCACTGGATTGTTGTGTGTGTTTGAGCCCAGGAAGGTGTACCAATGTCAGCCTGTGAGCCTGCGGGCATGCCGCTCTTTCCTTCAAGAACCTCGGCAAGAGGCTGGATGTTGTTTGTAGTGCCCTATTACAGGAGTTGACAAATGAAAGTATTCATGTACTCAACCTTCTGATACAGCCTCACTGCAGCTTTTCAGAGATGATCGCAGCATTTCTGGAGAAGCCCACCCTAGTTGAGATCCTGGGCGCAATCACAGAGGGCGCCACCAACCAGCTTCCAGGACAGGAGTCATCAGGAGGGGTACCCAAACCCCGCTCCTGACGGGGCCTCCAAAGGAAGCTCTTTGCTTTATTTGAAATAATACAAAACAACCCTAACTCCTGTTTCTTTTTTCTTTATTCATAGTAACTTTTGCTCTAAGCTACAGTCAAAAAATATGAGTCTGCTTCAAAAGATTTTTTATTGCAAGAAAGCTTGCAGACTTCCCTCCCTCCCCCCAAGAAAAGTGCATGAGTCTGTGGGTGTTACTCCCAGAACCCTCCCTAGGTATCAAGCTCTTGTTGCCTTCAGAGAAAAAGCTCGATATTCAGTCACGTGGGAGGGGCAAGAAGAGAAAAAAAAAGTGCAGTCCCCAGTCTGGTGCCTGGGTCATCTGCTCATACATCATTTGGGGGTGCAGCCTTCTCCATGACTGACAGAACAAAAGACACAGTGCAGCTGGAGGAAGTTGATTTGCCTCTTGGCTGTTTCAGGTCAAAAATCAGCACGTGTTTGCTGGTGACAGACCCCAGGAGCCAGCATGCAGTCCGCCTCCCTCACAAGCTTCCAGGCATGCACTACAGTGCCAATGAGCAATGCCAGATCCTGTTTGGCACCAATGCCACCTTCTGCAAAAACATGGAGGTAAGTGACCTCGGGAGGGCTGGCTCAGAAAGGAGCGTGACCCCCAGCCCCTCTCAGCAGGCCCAGCTTCTGCCAGAAGACCCAGGTTGGCATGCACTTAGCATGCACTCACGCACAGCTTATGGGCACATAAATTAAAGTAAATTGACAGTGCATTTCCCATTAGGAACAATGTTAACGTCGAGATAGTGCAGGAGCTTTTTTAAAGGGCTGAAAAAGAAAGCCTGTCAGCTTAGAGTTCTATACTCGGCAATACTATCTTTCAAAAAATGAAGGGGTAATGGAGTTTTTCTCTTATAGAAAAGCCAAAAGCATTCATTACCAGCAGACCCCAACTGGGAAGGAATATGGTAGGCAGAAAGAAAATGAGACTGAGAGAATGAGGCGCTTAGAAGCAGGAACTAACCAGGAAAATACACAATAATACTCAGATGTCTTTAAAAGGTAACTGACCATTTTAAAAACTGCTTCACTAATAAAAAAGAAAGAGAAGAATATATTTATGGTAGATGCCTTGTGACTGTCCTCGTGTGATAAAAGGAAGGACTTTGCATGTATGATTAAGGATCTTGAGATGGGGAGACTTCTGGATTATCTGGGTAGTCCCAGTATAATCACACGGATCTTGACTAACAGGAAGGCATATCTGAGTGGGTAGTAGGAGATGTGACCACAGAAGCAAGACACTGGAGTGGATACAAGGAAGGGGACACAAGCCAAGAAATGTAGGCAGCGGCTAGAAAGTGGGAAAGAGGGGGACCAGGTTCCTCCTCTGAACTTCCAGGAGCCAGTCCTGCTAAAATCTCTACTGTTGTCTGGCAAGAGTAATTTTTGACTTCTGAGCATTATAGGACAATACATCGGTGCTGCCTCAAGCCAATTATAGTAATTTACTACAGCAGCAACAGGAAATTCAGACAGATTTGCCATAGGAAAGTAAAATAGTTGTAGGTTTATGACACATGTAAGAATCAAATGTGTGAAGACCACACAGAAGCCCACAAGGGAGGACTTGACTCTTAAGGTTTTGATCCCAGATTTGAAGTTGAATAATTTCACATTAAGTTAACAATGTAAAATATTAACTTAAAATCAACCAAAAAGAATACAACAGAGTTGTAGTCTCTGTTCTGGCATAACTAGTTAAAGCACAGCGTTATGAAGCTGTCCCACGAGTTCGATGCCCAGCCAAGGAGGTGACCCACAGGGCGCAGCAGACCTCTCCTGTCCACTGGCTGCTCCCCTCAGCAGTGTGCTTCGTCCATCTGCCTGTTCTGCTCCCCACTCTGTCTCTGGTAGATTTTTCTCACCCACCCCACACCTCTGCAGTTCTTGTATACATAAATAAACAAATCTTTTTTTAAAAGAATACAACAGTTACAGCTAATAAACCAGCAAAGGGAACAAAACTGGTTGTACATAGTTTACCCCAATGATCTCTTAGACACATTAGGAACTGAGCGTGTAGGGATGGATTTCTACTCCATTATACTAGTTATTTCTACTCCATTATACTAAGAAACTAAAGCCACTCATATTTTATTATGGTTTCATGATATATCCCACTTAGATGCTGGTCCCCTTGAGGTCCCCATGACCAGTCCTGTCTCCAAATGGATGGCAGTGGTGAGGGGCTGGTCTTTACGCCTTGTCCAGTTCTTTAAGCCACTAATCCCACCAGTAATGTGAGGACACTCCGACTTGTCTCCCATTATTTCAGAGGGAATTGTGATGCAGGGTGCTCACCAGAATTCTCCAAAATATCGTTTCACCCCTTTTAGTAAGGAAAAAAAAAAATCCCTACTTATTAAGCACTGTGAAAAAGAAAGGAAAGTTTTGTAGCCAGAAGTTTGGGAAATGAACGCTGTGGAAGCATTACAATGCCAGAAATCTGGAGGGATCTTTTCTCTTAGAAACCACATTCATGCATGGCAGTTGGAAATGCTGCCATGTTCCCAAGCCCTGGGCTCCCCCAAGGACGGTTGACGATGAGAATTTCACTGGCAAGCCCTTGGGCGGGCTTCCTGTGCAGACCCTGCGGGGGTAGCTTGGAAACACACCTAAACATTAATGAGGCAAGTGGGTGTGTGTGAATCCTTTGTCTTAAAATTTCTAGGACTTGAAACCTATTACAGAAAAGAAAATAAAAATGAAATATAGCAGAGGTTGGACACCACCGAGGGAATAAAACTGTGAAACACACCAGCGGTCAGGAGTTGGACATTTTCTTTTTCTGAAATCCAGACCATAAAACTAAGAGGGAAAGGAACTGGGTAGGTTGTACTTTGAGAAAAATACTAACCGCTGACAACTGGCAGATAGAGTTTTCTTTTTCCCTGCTGCCTCTTTTGATGAGTCAAAGCTTCTCCCTGGTGAATGGTAGAGCTCCCCGGCTTCAGGGAGCTGTGCTTCTCAGGGCTGCATCTTGGTAATGTGCAAGTCAGGGCTTCTTACCCAGAGCCCGTGGCTAGCATTCAGGCATGTGAACAGGATCAGAAAGAGGTGTCAACTTTAGTTCTCTCCAACCTGTATGTGAAGTGATGGCCTTCGATTATGAATGTGTCAGCCCCAGCCATGTTAGCGGGACCTAACTATAACTGTCACTTGATGAGGAACCACAGAATCTTCCTACTGAGGGGCCATTTGTAGCAGATAGCTGAAAATATCGCTTACACACATCAGTTGTTCAAAATGACAGTGGTCATTAGTTCCAGGGCCAGACCTTGCTATGTACAATGTGCAGATAAAAAAACAAGCACATATGCTATTATGTCTCTTTATTTTGTAGTTTGAATTATATTTGACTTTTTTTTTTTGCTTCCTTGGTAATCATATAGATTTTACAACCTTGCCCTGACAAATATTATTCAAATGAGGGGTTCATACTTACAGGGGTGCTAGGGGGTGGCAGCCAGTGTCAGTCTCCAAAGCAAAGCACCGATTGTCCTGAGCTATTCCTCTTACTCAGCTTTTCAAGCTCTTATTCAGAATTTCAAATACAGCACTTCCTGTGCTTGACTTCATCTGTGTTCTTTCTCAGCATTCACAACGCAGAGACCTTTAAAGCCCCGTCACAACTAAAGACCATTTCCTCACTCACAGGTGTAGGGTAAATAACTTCAGAGAAACATGGCTACAGTTCTTAGGGAGCAGCCCAACTTCTGATGCTAACCAGGTCTCTGCTCACTTAGACATTTGCATCCCTGAGAACCAAAGAGAATCAAAGTGCAGCCCGTTTTCATTTCCAGGGCTCTGGAGATCCCCACAGCATCACCACTGCATCTGTCATGTCTGTCTGCAGAATGCTGGTATTGTACGTCTCAAAGCCATCTGTGGAAATATGAACTACCCCCAAAAAATTGGCCTCGATAGTTGGCATTGGTTGTAGAAGTTACTGGCAAATATAGCTGTCTCCTCTTTTAGCCAATGCGATGTTTTTAATTCAATAAAGCATTTCAAGAAAGTCCAAACATAAAAGTTCTAAACATTGGGTGGTAAATATTTATTCGAAAGGGGAAATGAACTTTAAGCAATTAGCCCAGTCTCTTTTTTTATGCTTACAAGTTCCTGCTGTCTCCATCAGCACCCTGGCTATTTAACAGGCCTTACAGCTGAGATTCTGCCAGGAGAAACAGACGGTGAGAAGGTCGGGAGTAGGTATTGTCAGCTGAAAGGAAGAGTGTGGTGTTGCTACTGGTGACAGAGCTGAAGGAGAGTAGTGAGTGCCCAGAGCCTCACCAAGCCGCCATCCTTCCTGACGAGAAAGGGACATGTTCCCCGTCCCCCCTCCCACCCCATCCCATGCCAGGAGATGATCTGTTGAGAGAGGCTATGTACAGATCCCTCACTCCTTTACTCTACCTGCTTCTTGGCGTCATTCTGCCATCTTTGTTCTGAAGCCCATCTTAGCTGCCCATGTGGAAGGAGAGGGCGTGCTAGAAAGTGATGCCCATCAGCCTTCTAGTGGGCATGTGTGTGGGTGTCTGCATGTCACGGCCTTGCCAGGGTCTCAGATATGTTGTGCTAGCTTTTTCTTTTTTTAAGCATTAAGCACAGAATTGGAAGCCAACAGTCTCAGGAAGAGGATGGTTGCAGACATCGCAGAGCGAGTTACGTGCCTTCTTCTCTGCCCAGATTTCACTTCTTTGCTCTGCTCCGTGCTCCTGGCATTTCAGTGCATGAGGGCAGGGTTAAGCCCTCTGCGCATGGCCACATTCTGCCTCTACCTCTGGAGCAACTTAGATAGATGACCTATTACTTAGTTGTATTTCTGCGACTTAAAAAGGCCTACACTCTGTCTTCTATGCTGCTAAGTAGGACAAGTACTTGTCCTTAGATGTGATGGGTTGTTATGAGAATGAGAGCACCTGGCATGTGGAGGGCACAAATATGCGAATTAGCATCACTTCTCCCGGACCCTGTGGACGGGGAGACAATGCCTACGTGACAGTCTCACTACGTGACAGTCTCATTGGCGATGTTCCTCTGCTGCATCTGTTCCGGCCCTGCCCTCCCCTTGCTCCTGGTACCACCACGGTCCAGCATCCACTCTTAGTGCTGCACTCTCTCCCCCACCCCCTTCTTCCTCTCCCTCCCCCTCCTCTCCCTCTCCCTCCCCCAGCCCCCAAGCCTGAAAGCCACTTTCTGTCTTTTCCCGAGTCCCCAGAGAATCTCATGCACAGCCTGGTAGATGGGATCTCCGAGGGTCCAGGAAGCTCCTCGTGTCAGATTTCCGCCTTGGCCCAAAAGTCCCCTTCTCTCCAGTGTCAAGTCAAACCCTGGCATGGGCCACTGGAATCTCCTCCAGGGGGTTCAGAAGATTGTGTAGCCCACCCCAGGTCTTTGGCATGAGAATCTCTAGGACCTGGCTTCTAGGGATTTGTCTTTTCATCACCTTCCCCAGGAAGGCTCATGTCTGCCCTCTTGGGAACCGCTGATCTGCACGAGACTTGCCCCTTCAATGCCAGCAAGGCTGGCCAGAGCAGGCCTCGGCCCTGCCC